ATCATGTATAGATTTTCAAACTGCTTCCTTTGAAGAAWGACTTTGTTTAGTATCACTTAATTCTGACTCATCTTTTTCCATCTTGTGTTATAAACAAACTTTTTTTCTTTTTTACGGTGAGAGCTCACCATACCCAGATGTTAATTTGATTGCATTTAGMAAGTTCTCATTACCCAGTTTATGTTATCTGGGAGAACTGGATATTGCATTCATTTAATTAGGAAAAATTCAGCAGTAATTAGCTCAGTCCTGGCTGCAGAGGGATGGGCTGGAGCCTTGTACTCATCCGGAGGTGGCTTCCTGCAGCAGCGAGGGGTTTGTGGTGCTGTGGCTGCACATGAGTCTGCTTTTTTCATTTCACTACAGCAAAATCTGGTGGGGGAACCCCTCAACTGAACTTTTTTAGAGCATAGTGCAGGAGGTAAAAACCTTTTTCTTYGCTGTGTAACTTGTGCTGCTGCTGGAACTGTCCTGGCGGGAGAGCAGCACAACCMTTCTGCCTGCAGAGGATTCTTTGTGTGGAAGGAGCTTGGAGAAGATGCTGTAGATTATTTCTACTAGCATCTCTTGTATTAATTTCTCTTTTAACATTTGAGTTATTATACTTGTGTTTGTTAATACTTGGGGCTTGTTACGGTGTTTTTTCTCCCTATTCTCTTGYAAACCACCCAGTGTGGCTCCAACCTCCCATTTAAGCTGATGTGATTGCAGTAATTTATTTTAAAGCTTGCCTTTATCTTTCCTTGAAGCCCTCCCCAGTGCTGTGGGTTTGTTAGGACTTGCCAGAAGACTTCCATGAGCACAGATCTGGGACTTTCTTTTGATTCCACACAATTCGGGGATTAACATTCCCTCAAACAGTCCGTGGTACACAGGTCACGAGTGAGGCTTATCCTTAGAAATGGCAAATGTAAATTACAGGTGAGACCCTAAACTGGGGAAAATCTGTGCCAGAGATACTTCCSTTCTAGGCAGGAAGAGCTGTGGTCTTGTTTCTCACCCTGGCTGCAAATAATGTTTTACAAATTCAGATAATTTGACAAAGTGCTTCACTGAAGGATCTTTCAGACCTCCAGGAGATCCCTGGCAAAACAGTGGGGGGATCTGTGCATTCTGCTCTTCAGAGTGCATAAACCACATGGAAAAGGAAATGGGGTGATCAGAATTTGTGAGGGAAAAGGTGATGTATTTGTTAATGTATATATATAGATATGTGTGTCTATATATGCATCTGTGTATAGATTTAAAACCTAACTGTGGAAAGTGGTAGGAAGGCAACATGACTTTGAATGACTGGCCTTTAAAATAGCAGATGGAATTAAGTGTGGGTACATGTGACATTTTCTGCATGGGAAGATACAAGATTTCTTGATTTATATTTGCAGTGATGCTTGGAATCCCTACTAATGAAGAGATCTTGGTGGTATTATAATCAGATCTGAAAAATCRCATTAGCCCAATGCTCACTTTTTGTAAAACCCAAGTCAGATATTAGGAATTTTTAGAAAAGCAAGAGAACAAAGCATTGTGTGGGTGTATAAATTCATGGTGCTCTCTTTTCATCCTGGATATTGTGTGTGCTTCCAGCCCCCCTCTTCCTGCTCAAAAATATGAATTAGGGACTGTAGAAAGGTAAGAAGTGAGGATKCTCAGAATTCTGAAGCAGCTGAGCTCTTGGCAGATCTGTGGACCTTCCACAGGACACTTTGGGCTCTAAAAGTGAATGTAGGTATAAAATGTGATGGTGCAGAGCCATGAAAGAGGAATTTATTTGGTATTATTATACACACAGTTGGTGTGTTCAGGTGAGGAGATTCTGAAACTGCACTTGGAGTGAACTGGGGTGGTGGAAGGGGGAAGCATTGCTCCAGCCTCACCCTGATCCTTCCTTCAACCCTCCTGCAGACACCTGCTGCTCTCAGTCTCCCCTGCTTTCACAGAGAACATATTTTCACGTTGGGAAGTGCTTCTGCCTGGGCTTTTTTGGGACACAGTGTTGACATGTTCCATGTGGAGGGTTTGAGATGTAAAATGTCACTGGGAAGTGTCCTCAGCRTTTGGTGTGGTGGGGTAATGGTGTGGTGTGTTTGTGGAGGGTGTAGGAAATCAGCTTCAGAAAAAAAAATAAATCTGCAGGGGGAAAAAAAAAGAAAAAGGCTCCAGAATTTACAGTTGTAACTTACAAAAGATGGGGGAGAAAATGTCCTCTAAATTCCATCTGCTGGATGCTGCTCAGACTTGGAGCTTAGACAACTCAGTTTTACCCTTCAATATCGTTACTGCCTGCTCTCACCTATGAGCTTTTAAGAAAAAACAGTTTTTGTCTGAAGCAGCTTTTTCTGTTTAAAACTTGCTGCCATCCAGAATACCTGAATTTGTGTTAGTAATTCAACATTAATACATCTTTGCACCCTAATAGTTGTTATATTTGTACTGTCACTGCTTCAGGAAAAGCAAATCCTGCAAAGAGCATCAGGGATTGCAGTGTAACTAAGGAAGGAGAAACTATTTTCCATGATGCACAACACTGTCAGGGTTGCTAAAAATGAGATGTGGTGCAAATATTTTCTGTGTATGAAGTACTTTTATTTTAATGTAACGCAGCACATAAAGCCACCTGAGAACTTCCATTCCTTACTACATCCAAAATTACCATTTATTAAGTCACTGTGAAGCTTCTATAGCAGGTTATTAAAAACAAACAAACAAAAAAAAAAACTTTAAAAATAACATCTAAATTAGTGGAAAGACCTGTTTGAAGCACCCCTTGTTATGAATGGCAAAATTGTCGAGACTAAAAACCAACATCAAGGATTATTTTTCCTAGAAAAATGTTTCAGTAAGTGAAAGGGAGTGGCCAGATTTCAAATGGGTGATTGGATCCAAGTATTCTTAGAAGGTTTGGACCAATCAGTGTTTTTTGTGTAGAGATTTTTGAATGTTTATTTAGACAATTTAGTCTCTCTTTTGATAATAAGTAGAGAAGATATTGGTTCTGAAATTGTTTCAGTGTTCCCATTGATCTGTTGTGCCACTGAGGCCGTGAGTTAGGAATTTAAACACCCTGCTGGAATTGATACCTGCCTTCAAATGAGATTATTTSCCCTCACGTGTTTAAGTAGAGGCTGAAAACAAACCAGAAATTATTACRAAGGTTTCTGTGGCAGCAGTTGTAGGCAGCAGGACACACAGCATTGTTCTTCCCATTCTAATTTCAGCATATTTCAATTTTTAATGTCGGAAAGGAGTTCTCCTTGCCAGGATTAGATTGCAACTAACTTGCTTGTGCTTGCAATATCATTTTTTCTCAGTGCTTTGAAAATGTCCTTCCCAACTGCCCAGGTGTCCTTTGGGGATTTCTAAAATCATGTTGCAAACAGAATGTGACATTTTGAGAATGAGTCTTTTGCTGTAACTTGTAGCGCTGGTGGCCAGAGTTCTTCTTGTGTTTTCTGCATAACTGGAGTATTGATAAGTGATGGGAGRTGGGTCTCAGTTTGCAGATGTCTTTAGAAGTAATCAAACACTTCCTTTACCAACAAATCTCTGCACAGTTCCAACTTAATTCTGTTATCTGAGCACTTTTTAAATTGGTGAAATTATATAAAATGCATTTAGATTTTGATACTGGTACACTCTCCTCTTAATAGCAATTAATAACTGAACCTGGGCAGTGCTCACTGCCTTAAAGTGGAAAAGTATTTTGGCAAATATGGAAATCATAGAATCCTAAAATAATTTGGGTTGGAAGGGACCTTAAAAGCTCATCCAGTCCCATCCCCTGCCATGGGCAGGGACACCTTCCACTATCCCAGGCTGCTCCAAGCCCTGTCCAACCTGGCCTTGGACACTGCCAGGGATGGGGCATTCAGTGCTTTTCTGTTTTTCTTGTCAAAGTAAATGTGGGCAGCTGTACACTTTCAGACCAYAATGGAATCCCTCAGGTTTTCCAGGGACATCTGTTCCATTCCATATACATCTCTTCTTCCACCAAAATTTTCCTTATATATTGATAATAGCATAATTTGTATTTTTTGTGGCTGATTTCCTTGATTTGTGCTGTACGGAGCAATGTAAATCCATGTGGCAGTTCCCTAATAATATGAAAGGGAAAGAGAGATAGGGAATCATATATTGATGTGCATGAGAGACTTAGMAAGAATTTCACTTACCTATAGTTTTGGAATGAGGGAGTTCTTGGCTTTCTATCTGACATAGGAAAAAAAATAGTTCTAAATAAGCATTATATAGAAGCATGACAATAGATCATTAAAATATTCAGTGAAAAAAATCAAGTATTAGTTAAAATATTCTAAAACTTCCCTCCAACTCTTTTATTCTATTTCATTTTAATGAGTGTTCAAGCTTTCTTTTCTTGGGGAAATCCCTGGATGTCTCACATGCATTCTTTTCTCTAAGCTATTGCTTTTAACAGCAGTTTTCACTGTTCATAAATGCTGCACTTGCTTTCATTCAGCTGCATGTAATTTTTTTACCACTTTAGGGATTTTTTTTTAATCCTGGTAGACCAGCAAGTTGAAAATCAAAGCCAGGGCTCCTGTTTCTTTAGTATCACCCCTGTTCCTACCACCTCTGTGTCGTGTCTTTTGTCCTCCAGCAATGCTGTCAGACAGTAACAGAGGAAACTCAGAAACATCTCAGAGGTTCTCTTGACCCTTTCAGGACTTCTTAAATGTTCCACATGTGATCGTGTATTTGTCTAGAAACACTCCAGTATGCATTTAGTGTGTCTCTTCTGGTTTAGATCAGTCCCCCTTGCTTCCTCAGCCCAGAGACACATTTTAGCAGTGAGTTATTTTGTGTAATTACAGTGTCCACTTTGGATATTACTTTGAAAACTCTGTGCTCTCTSAGTGTGATTATGCAGAGTTTCGGTTTGGTTCCAGGATGTCACTGTGTGAGTCTGACAAGGGAAAAATATATTGAAACAGAAGAAAGAGGTCTAAATAGGCTGGAAAATCTCTGTAATCTTGATAAAGACTTCTAGATATAACAACCATACATCTTGAATTCAGTTGCTGTGGTCTGGAAAACGATGTTTGTGCCACATTAATTTATTTTTTCTGCTGTGTTTCTTTTTTCCCAGTGTCCCAATGTAATATCAGCTTGAAAAAGCAGAGGAGTCGAAGTATCTTTAGCACCTTATTCTGCTGCTTTCGTGACTACAATGTCGAGCCACCATCCACCAACAGCACCAGTGCTCTGCCTCCTTTGGTGGAGGAGAATGGAGGACTTCAGAAGGTCAGGATCTTGTCTTATTTTGCTGTCATGTGGGTCTTTTGTAAGCAAGGCATAATTCTGCTTCCAAAGATTTGCCTTAACAGGTTTCCCTCGTGGGGAACAGCTCCGAGTTACAGAAAAATATTACTGGTTTGATGATGGATTGCTAATACTGTCTGTTCGTCTATAATGTAAAACTAGTATTTTGTTATGGGTGTTGGCACTACACATTTTATAAGCAACCAGCATTTAAAACCTGAATAAGACACTAAAGAAGTGTAGGCTACACATAAAATTTCAGCTGTTGTCTCCAGCATTTGTTCCTTTTCCTGATTACAGGAACGTTAAAATGTGCCCACTGGAGCATAGTGGAACCTTCTGAATATCACTTTGAAGGGTTTTTTGTGACATAAAAACAAATCAAAAAGCCATTGTTATTTGGACCTTTTTTCCTAAACAATTCACTTGTATTTAATRCATGCTGAATCCAGAGATTGCAGCTTTTGGCCACTTTTCCAGGTTATTAAGTTTTGTTTAACGAGTCAAATGAATGAGTAAACCTTTTAGATACAAATACGCATAGAATACAAACATTAAAACACAGATTTATATATTCTTTATACATCTGATAACATTGACTGCATTTTTGTTACGAACTGTAGAATTTCAGTTCAGTATGGCAAATGTAGGAATGCCATCTTTTCCCTACAGTTTCCAGGACTTTGAGATTGCAAACACAGGTGAATCCTTGGTGGGGAACAATAGCAGAAATGGAAATGTCTCTCTGGATTTTTTATCCTTCTGCTCTTCGCATAATTTTTCATGTCTGATGCAGCTGATTCCTTGTTTACTTTGTCCATTCCATGTTTACTTGCATTCTATTCTGGCTTGAATTTTGCTGGTTGTGTTTGAATTCTGAAAAGCTCAGGAGAAAGAGCAAGGAGTGGTTTGGTGGGAGAGAGGGAAGGAAAGCAGATGCAAGTGATGGAGGTTCAGAGTATGTGTGGAGGTAAAGCCTGAACTGTAACAGTTCCTGCTGAAACTGCTCACGCAGAGGTAAAATGCACTGAAAATCCTGCCAAGAGGAGGGATTGTACATGTATTTTTAGACTTCTTCTGCTAGCCAAGGTACATTTCGAGTGAAATGAGGGAAATCTAGCCTGGATGTGCTGAAGGGAAAGCTGAGGAGTGTGTAACATGTGCACACATTTGAGAAACCAAAGGAATGGGAAGCTACTAAAATTTCCATTCCACTGTGCTGAGGAATGGAAAGGAGGCAGAAGTGAGGCTACTGGCAAAACTACAGCTGAGAGAAAATGGGAGTTCATTAGAAAGAAATAAAATACATAAAGGTGGTTTTCTCTATAGAAAATGTGAATTAGAATGGTCTGAAGTCAGTAGTTTCCCGATTTCATTTTGCAAAACAATTATTTTCTGAATATATCTTAAGCCTTGAGAGATTGCAGGTATATTCACACAAGTTTTGGTCCTCACTCTGTGCTGCCTTAATGGGCGGTTCTGGAGTTCTGMAATACTTGTACACAAGACCAAGACACAAATCACAGCATTCCTAAAATTACCATATCGGACTAAAAAAATTCAAAGAATATATTGAAGAGAATTTAATTAGAGTGTGTTTTCTTCAGTTGAGTGAAAGGTACTCAGATATTCAGGTCTTTGTAGAAGAAATCATTATAGCTGAACTTTTAGGTGGTTCTTGAGGTCAAATAAGCCTGTGACACTGCTGTTTTAAATGCAGTGTTAAAGACTAATAAGCTTTATATGTTTTTCTTTATGCTATTTCTACTTTTAATGCTAATTTCTAATTATCTAATGATAATTTCTACTTTTAGTGCTAAGTCGAAAGTTCTTTTAAAGAAATAAAAAGAGCATTGAAGACTTGGACATGTTTGAATATTGTTTCACTGCCAGGCTGGTGATTTTTACCAGAAGAGCTGTTTCAGAGCTGTGCAGGCTGCTTGAATTTGGTGGAGTTACACTGAGCATCTTGTCTGGATGCAGAAATAAGTAAGGTGGGGGAAGCAGCAGTGGGCCTTGGATTCTAAATTGGTGAAATGAAATGTCCAGGAATGACAAAATTGCCTCTCAGGAAAGAAAATAAAACCTGAGAACCCACTGCTTAAATTCCTCTGCTGTTTCAATAAAGCTCTTCTTTTCATTAGTCTCAATGCCARGTTAGACTTGTTTAAATTCTGTTAAGCTGCTGCTCAGATGGTCATTTCGTTAAATCTGCTCTCTCTTTTATGTTTTAATCATTATTTATCACATCACAGCTCACTTCTGGCCAGGCCAAGTCAGTTCATGTGTTGTGACCCTTTGCTTAAAAAATGGGCAAGGAAAATTGCACAATAATGTCAACAAGTTACTCTTGAAATGAGTATTAAATGGCTTGGATGTATTTTCCTTATGTCTTTGCTGTTCAGTGGAGTTGGTACATGAAAACTGGTGATAAAGACTTCAGAGGAAGGAAAGGAATGGGGGGAGCTTCTGCTGGTTTCACTGGAATTCAGTGTTCTGTCTTGATTCTGGAATGTTCTGAAGTTCATGTAATAAGCCAACTTCCTTCTAATTAGGAATCTTGATTTTTATAAATGCTGACCTGTTCAAAAGGATGCAAAGTGGGAARATGAAGTGTATTTTATAAAGTAATTGAAAACAGTACTGAAATGTTGTTCAGAATAATTGTGATGTGTGATGAAATTTTTATTGTAATTATTATTTGGCTCTATCAGAAAAAAAATTAAATCAGTTCTTCAGATTAATCAGTGCTTCATAACGTGACTTGAGGATGCTTGACATGTCAAGTGTTCTGTCACTTCTCCATGGGATTGGAAGAAACACCAAACTGAGCATGGTTTTGATTAAACAGCTTGTTTCAGTGCTGAATTCGATTCTGTAAGWGGGGAAAAAAAAAGCCCAAAAACTTCTTTAAAGTATTGAGTTCACTTTTAAACCTTCTACTCACAGAGCAGCTGCTTGTCCGAGTRTGACTCTAATACTGGTAATGAATGGTCCATTCTGTCTCTGAAAGTTTCAATACAACATTTTTTTCAATAATAACTTGTATTTACTGAAACTGTGGCGTATTTGTTTTCCTTCAAATGCAGCAGCTATTCAGCACAGCATGAAGATGCACTGTAAGATGTGATATCTGTGACAATGGGTACATCAGCCTGCCTGCAGCTGGATGCTGAGCCAGATGTGTCACTGGGGGAGCACATAATGTTCAGCCTCATGAAATCCTGGGTAATCTTTTCCTGCCTCCTCAGCAGCAGGCAGTTCCCCAACACCTTCCAGCCACTTTTATTTTTTGTTTAGGGTGTTGGGAGAGGAAGTTGAGTTTTGTTTCCTTCAGGATAAATTCAAATCTCAATTTCCGTTCTCCAGTTAGCAGCTTCACTCCATTTGTGCATTTTCTGGATGTAAGTTTTTATCTTCTGGGTAGTTTCATTACCTGACTTTTGAGGTGTTTGTGGATRCATACTTCATTAATTCAGGCTTGAAGGAGGGGTCCAGATAGAGAAAGGTGAGAAAAGCTGGATGCAGACTGAGCTCTTTTTCCCCTTTCAGTCGTGGTGGGTGAGGGAGCTCTGACAAGTCTGTGGGCACTTTGCCATTTCACTCCCAACCCACTTCCACTGGAGTCATCCTTGCTTTTGTTTCACAGCAAGATCCAGAGCAGGCAGATGGCTCCTGTTAATGAGMTGAAGCATGAATGAGGAAAGGGATTTTTATACTTGCTGGGTTAGAGGAGARGCTCTTGATCCTTACTCAACGGGGAAGGAGACAGAATTAGGAGGAATTTTTTTTTTTCTGGGGGCTGCATCTGCTCCCTCTGCTTTCCCTGTCACTGAATTTCTACCTTATCCATCCTAACCACAACAACAGTTGGGGCTTCTTCTCCCCACTGCATGATGCCCTCATCTCCCTGGTGATGCTGGAAAGCTGTGTAGATGACCTGTGATCGTGTCTCCAGCGCTCCTGTCTGCTTTAGGGATCTCTGTTTATAACAAAGTACAGGAAAAAGGATCTTCTCTCTATCCCACATGAMTATGGTCCAGCAAAATGAGAAAAACAGCTTGTAGGGAGCACATTCYTGAGGTCAAAGTAGCATCTGCTTCGTGCTGGAGACCTGGAGGAGCAGCAGGAGCGTGGGCTCTTTGATGAGGACACTGTTAATGACAGGCTTCCTGAGCAGACATGGAAATCACTCTCACTCTCCAGTGTGGAGGAAGATAATTGAGATTATTGTAAATCACTGCACTTTTTTTCTTGATGAACCATCTCTGATCAGAGCAAGAAAATTCCAGATGTTTGATTCTGTTGGTCACCATCAACACATGGTATGGAAGGTCTGTTCAGAAAATAAAACCCCCTCTCGATACCTGTTTGGTTCCTCTCTTTGCTCACTCATTCTGACCTTCTCTGCCTCCCTAAAARTCTTCTTTATTAAAAGACAAAGCTTGAGGGTTTGTCAGCTGAAGTGTCAAATAATAACTACACTGCTGTTTTTAAAGAACCTGTCACGGTCTAGAATAAACTGTGTGCTAAAGAAACTGTGGGAGCACTAGCCATAATAGGATAAATCTGTTATTTTGATCAGCTTCTTCTCTAAAATGAAGTAGCTGCTTATCTGTGAATACAGACTGTTCTGAAAAAAAAGCAAAATATTGTGGCCTGCCACATTGAGCCCACACATGACCATAGAGAGTGTTAGTGAACAACACAGTGCTGGAAATGTGTTTCAAACTGAAATCATGTAGCTGAAGGAAAAGATAGGATTTATCATTCCATCTGTATATAGTGTGCCATGAGAAAAAAAACACCCTGATTTCAATAGCTGGACAAACCAGTTCCTGGGTTGTCTTAGGGATACAATAGGGAAATTTTGGCATTCTAGGAACAACTTTGTTCTGTTACCAACATCAGGAGCTCGTGGAAAGCCTTCAAAAATGCGGTCATCCGTCATCTCTTTCAAACGATGCCGTTATGACCCATTTCCCTTCCTGTTCCAAGGCATTAGGAAATGAGGCAGGACRCTTCTGTAAGAAGTTTCTCAGAGCAGGCTTGTTTGTACAAAGCATTTGCCTGTTCATGACCACTTTTGCTTTCCCTGCAGACTGTCACAGCTCTTTTTCTGCTTGTTTTTCCTGTTCTCATCACTACTGTTTGGATTTTTGCATAGGTACTTCTAGGACTCCTCTTAAGAAATTTGCTTGTTTCTCCTTTCTTTTTTAAATTTAGTTTAAGAAATTCTGTGAGAAAAATAAAGCAAACAGTAATGCAAGTCCTGTAGCGGCTTTGGGTTTGGGTTCCTTTGAAAGTCAGCTCCGCTAACAGGACATTAACATACTGAATTACATTTTTTCTCTTTTCTTACTGCTTTTGCCCTGAGGAAAACTTGGATTCTTACCAGCTTTTGTGTGCTTGTGTGTTTTTCTAGAAAATCAGGTACTTTTTACTGGTGCCAAGTTTTTGGTAGTTCATGGCAGTTGCTGCTCTCCAGTTGCTCCTTCAGCTTCTCAGGATTCTGGTCAGACTTCAGTAAAAAGTTCTGCTGAGCAGCATTAAAAAAGAGCACTTAAAAAATAATACTGAATTATTTCTGTTTGTCAGTGATGTGTCAACACTGGTAGAACTGAGAACAAACAAGCAGGAGGTTTCTTCAGCTAGAAGAGGCTATTCTAGTGTTGAAAACAGCTCTTTGAATAGCTCCTCTGCTGGAGATCAGAGCCTGTGCTCTCCAAATATTGAAGAATAAAMTCATCTACCCAAGCAACATCTATGGTAGAAGGATCAGCTTCCCTTTTTATGTGCTTKTGCCCACCAGGAGAGTAGTTGGTTTTGGAGGATTAGAAAGATTAGAAAACAGAGGTCCTTCTTCAGAAATCTCTGACACATTTGAGTGACCCTGTGGCCAGGCTTTGTCCATTTTGGAGCTGTCCTGGTTTTTGGATATCCAAGGATGAAAGGGAAAGGTCAAGTTGGCCAAGACTTCCCTGCCTTTTCCCAAGTGCAATGCAAAAGTGAGACCATGGGAGCATCACTGGTACTGCTGCTTCTTTCTCGGTGAAGAAAATGAGATTCCTTGGCTTAGTTTATCACCTTTATGTCCCTGTCAGATATTTTGCTGTTGCCTAAGTGAAAATGCTGGTTTTTTTTCAAGTCASTTGTCTCAAATGAAGTTGAGTTCAAGGAGTGGGGTTCTGCCCTGCTGTCAGGGTCTGGCTCAGCCTCTCGTTGCTGCMGTGAAAAATGACAAATATACCCATTAATAGATGTTTAAGCTGAAAAGGTTCCAGTAAATACAGGTACTTTCTTATTGCCATCTCTGATTAATCATAGCATGGGTTTTATCAGTCCAGTCTCCTAAAAATCATAAATGCCAATGTACTAACAGATCATTTCAGCAACTAAAATGCAAAATCCTGTTTTTATTTTTTTTTTACCCTGGTTTCTTGAATACTTTGAACTTTTGGTTTAAAATGTTTGAGTGCTACATTTACTGCTCCAGACCTTTGTTCTACCCTTTAAAAACCATTACCCTTACAGTGATTTTTTTTTTCTTTTTCCCCAGGGTGACCAGATGCAGGTCATGCCTATACCAAGTGTATGTATTTTTATCCCTTTTTCTTTTAATAATTTTCATGACTTTTGCTTTGGTTCATTTTATGTTGCAGTCTAACAGGTCTGTTTTGTGTTGCATGTTAACAGAAGGATTTTATGTTCTGTCTGTAATGTTGTATCCCCAGAGGTGAATTGAGCTGCATGTGTTCTGCAGGGACTGAAAGAAGAGTTTGGGTTTTATTTGGGTTTCATCTGAATTTTTAGCATTTTGAAAACACATGAAATAGTCTGAAAGTTGAAGTTGCTTATTTTAATAGAGGCAAAAGGTGACTCATCATCACTGAGACACAGTTACAAAGACCTTTTCCTCTCATTTTCCCCTATATTCCAGTTCAAAAGAAGAGTTGGAAACTGCATAATTTATTTGAAATAAGTCATGCTAAGAAAACAGTACACTGACTATTGCTCATTACTGCACTTGTTTGAGATGATGCTCTTGGTATCAGCTGCTGCTTTATGGGCCTTAATATTTCTGTTTATCTTCCCTGGATTAAACTTGGAATGCTGTTTGGCATCTAAATTATTTTTCAAAGCTAAATAAAAGGAAGAAAAAAAAGAGGTCTTTCAAACTGAAGCTTTTAATTTAATTAGTTTTAACCTTTTTTGGTCAAAAAGCTTCTTTTTTTTACAAGGATGAAGGCTTAGGCTTTATGAAGCTGAAAATACTTTTTTTTTTTTTGAGCTCCTTTGCTGTTTACAATGCTTTATCACTGCAGAGTTTCCCAGAAAACAGCAGTGCTGATGCGTGGAGATACTGACCCAGCCCTCTTGTTTGAGATATTTGGTGGCCTTTAAAGACCTGGATATTCCCCAAGATGCCATTCTTTTTCTTCTTTCCCTTCCTTCTCACGTAGCCCAGCATTACAAAACCTCCTCTAAGAAGACCCCTGCCTGTGCTGCAGTGCAGCAGTGCCAGGAGATCGCTGTGATCTCTGCAGATCTTCCCTCTTCCAACAGTTTTTTCTTGGATTTAAGAACTGTTGGAAGTTCCTCTTTATGGCTTTCCTGTGATTTCTGATATGGCTCATGCATGTGTGTATGCAGACAGGCATGGACATGCACGTGATTTGGGTAAATGCAAGTGCAGGAATAGAAAACCTCAGATGGAAATCAGAAAATACTGATTTCCAAACTTAACTTTTCTTTTTTACATACCTGCCAAATTTTGTTAAGTGACTGTAGTTGCTCCACTAGGAATTATTTGAACATGAAACGTGTTCTKGCTGTGCTCTGACCTGGAATAAAAATCTTTCCCAAGAGTGACTGTAGGTACCAACAGAATAAGAATTAAAACAGAACAAAATTTTGGAAGGATAAATGAGTACAGCTTTGACAGGTACAGAAATGAAATGAGATGCTTTGTTCAAACACTGTCTTTACAATGTTAAAGCAGTGTTCTGTTAGATTTGGGTGGTGGTAGGAAAATGAGTGAATTCAACAAGGGATAGATTTTTTTTCTTTCTTTTTTTTTTTTTTTTTTTTTTGTTTTTTTTTTTTTTTTTTAAGCTCTTTTTTAATTTTGCAGACATATATTCCCAGCGCCAGCAAGGCAATAAAATTAACTTATCTCTGCAGTCATGACACAGAGTTCCCAGCGAGCAGGTGACTTTAAACACTCTCCTTCCCCTTCTCCAGTGCCATCTGATGCTTCTTCCAGCAGCAGGACACGGGAGTGTTGTCAGGCAACCATTGCCTGTGGGCACTGGGGTGACATTTACTCCCCAGTATCAAAGTGCTCCTGGCTCTCAGGAACCAGCCAGCAGCACTGTGTAATCATCTAAATAAAGGCACAAGGGAGCTGCATGTGGAGAGAGTGGTAGGAAACAAAATGCAGTATTATATTAGGAAAAACACCTAAAATTAAGGTGTTCCTCTGCCAGTCTTATGAGGGGTGTTGGTCCTGAGTGCCAGAGCCCAAGGTTTGCTCCAGGACAGCTCTGAACTGTGGGTTCCAGAYCCATTAAACCCAGAAATTCTTGATGTTCTGCTAGGTAGGGATGAGGACTGGGCTGTTTGAACTGCAGGTCTTGCACAAACCAGGAGGAGAATCTTGTAAAGAGAAACAGTGAGCTTGGTCACAATTAAGTGGGTGTTTAATTTTTACAGAGCTCRTTTCAAATGTCATCATTTCAAGTGTTCAGGGAATTCCTGAGTGACTCTAAAAAGAGCTCTGCTYGCTCCCCACTTTCAAATTGAAGCCTCCAGTCAAAATATGAGGATTTCTGGAGCTTTCTCGTGTTTTTTTATCGTGTGTTAAACCTGGCAGTGTGCTGAGGTCACCTGTTTGAAAAGTTCCATTGCTTTCTGTGCGTTGTGCATTGCTTTTATTTGCGTTTATGTGTGCAATTCAGTGAAGTGGATCTTCTGCTCAATCAGATTTGTCCTGTATTGATTGCACCTGATTTRAAAGCTTGAGTTAATATGAATTTTCACTTGGTTTTTGATAAAGATGACTGCTAAATAAGAAATAAGCTTCAAGTTAGGTTGTTCAGAAAATAGAGACAGCATTACTTTGAGTGTTTTTCAGATATGAACTTTATGTTTGAAACTGTTTCTAGATAAGGTGTAGATTAAACTACAGCATAATTGATCATTTTTTAAAACTGCACAATTATTTATTTTTAGGGCTGAAATAAACACAGAATTAAAACAAAAAAACACCAAAACATTACCAGCTGACACATTGTGATAGACCTGGTTAAAAATCTATTAAATGTAGCTCAGGATGCCTCATTTTTCAATGGATTTTTGTCAGCTTTGTTTGGRAAGGAGTATGGTAGACAAATCATAGAATCATACAATGGTTTGGGTTGGAAGGAACTTTAAAAGACAATCTCGTTCCAACCCCCAGATCAAAGTAATCAGATCAAAGTAATCCCAGAGCAACATCACTATTTTTTTGTTCTTCTGAATGAAGAGGTAGATGGAAATCCAAAGCCTCACTCATTCAGCATCTTAAATGAGATGTTGTTAAACTTCTCTTAACTCTTAAATGAGTTGGAGTATCCATTTATTTTGTTCAGCTTAAAATTCCACTTTTAATGAGTGGATCAAAATTATCCCTCAGAATCCCTGCAGAAGTTAAATCTTAGCACAGGGATATTGAGGGKTTTTTTTTCACTTGTTTTCACCTACATTAGATAATTCCTTGTTAGAACTTTTTCTAGTCAAAATTATGGGAAGTGCCTGTTCCATGARAGGAGCTGGCACCTTCTGGCAGCTGTGCTTTAAGCAGGAATCATTTCTCTTCTGTGAGAGTATTTCTGCCCATAACTGCTGGGAGAAGCTGTCAGCTCTGCTGAGTGCAGCCCAAAGTGTGAGCTGAGGAGGACACAAACAATAAATTCATGTGCTGCACTTAGGCTTGACAGCATTGCCAGTAGAGAGAATTAAAAAAAAAAAGGCTTGTTAATTCTGCTACTTGTTTCTGTGGGAAGTACAGGCCTGCAGGGAGGAAAGCTGATGATTGTTCTATACAGTGAATTTCTGAAAGATTTGTCTTGACCAGCTGTTTATGCTTCAACCAAAAGTCCTGTTCTCTTGCCGCCACCATCCCCTTTTTTTGTTTGTTTTTTCTTAGGGAATATACTATTTCCACGGGACTGAAGCAGTGCAGCAGTCGTTTCACTACAAGGTCTGTTGAGCTGATCAGCCACGAGACCTGGCTGGAATGCATAAATCCCAAACAGTGACTAGTTTAACTTGTGTATAATTTGTGTCTTGTTGGAATTGAAGAYCGAGCCAGTGAGATACCACGTGTTATTTTTCTGCTGAGTTCTGTGGAAGTCTGCAGCCTTTTCGGGGAATGTTGCATAAAAAATACGAGTTGCTGTTAGCCACTATGAAATATTCTTCATCATCTCAGATATCTTTAAAGTTGATATGTGTAAAAATAAAGATAAGTGAAAGTTCCATAGCTCTTCACTATTAAGTATGATGGAAATCTGGTATTTAGAGCTCTTCTTGGGTATGTCTCCATCATAGAAAACTAAAGTTCAATGTTGAGTAATGCTTGTTTCTGCCTAAAAGCTTTGCTGCCCTTGACAGGTGGAAATGGCTTTAGATCAGAAAGCTTGAACAGCAAAACAAATGGGATGATACTTTGCATACAAAAGCTTTCAAGCTCCTAAAAGCCTCAAAAATGCCACCCTTGCTCCAAAGTCCTACACCAGCATTTAGCAGCCTCACAGCTTGTAGTGACTTCAGCTTCAGAATAATTTCCTTACCCCTGTTGCATTATCAGAGGGTGAATGTGTTTTCACAGCGGAGGGCAACAGAAGTGCCTGTTTTGAAATGAAAAATTTATTTCTTCTGCTCTTTGAATGTGTGAACTTAAACAAGCAAGGTCAAATTGAACTCAGGATGCCAAAATTTGTTCGGAGGGTTGGTGGTACCCTTGTTTGATAAAGTTAGGTCAGTAATTACACATGGTCTCCTCAATCAATACTGAAAAGGGAGMGAAACTCTAGCAGTAAACAGCATCTGTGTTTAAAGCCACAGGTAAGGTTGTGCCTCTCCCAGCCACTGCTTTTGAGAAAGCAGAGGTGCAGGTGGGTGAAAAAAAATAGTCACAGGTTGCCTCACTGTGCAGTAGAGGAATTTGGGTTCTCGGAGATTAAAGTTCTTGCATTTGTAGTCCTTGGTGTGTATCCTTCCTTTTCCTGATGACAAATGCAACAGTTTCCAGATACAAAAACTRAAGGTATCTGTGGTAAGATAGTCCTCATATTTTTCATATGCATATTTTATATAGAAGAATATCTGTTTCCATATATTTTTCATAGATATATTTTCAGTTCACTTAGCAGAAGGAATTTCTGCTTTGAACTGCTTGTGCAGATTAATGGAGTCAAAAAGTCAAACAAGATAAGGTTTTCAGTAGAACAATAAACTGAATTGGTTTTTTTTAAAGTATATTTAAGGTTTCTTGGAATGTTCCTACCTTTTTTTTCATCTTCAAAGACAAGAAGTATTGGAACATGGGTTCTGAAGATTATTGTCTTTAAATGGGTTGGGTTTTTCTTTCAATAAGCTTTTAGTTTTTTTAGGTTGCAAGTTTGGATCCTTCTTAATACGAAAATTGAGGTGGGGTGCTAAATACCTTTCAGGCYTTGAATAGAAATGAGAAAACAGAATCCTTTAGGTCTGGTCCCAGCTGCCAACAAGCAGAGGTGGGGCTGAAGTACTTGTGGGACTGTCCATAACCTAGAGAGAGTGTTGTATAAATTGCAGCCTGGTTGGGTGGCTGTGATGGAGGGAGCCTTTGCAGGCATTAGGCAGAAGCTGTTTTAATTTGAAGGTTGTTGTTAGATGTGTGCTGAGAGGAAATGCATTGAGACAAGTGATTGCTAGGCAAACCTTCCAGTTTGGTGGCTGARGGAACTGTTGTCGATGTTAATCGTAAAGAACTGAATCAATTTCAGTGTACACTCCTAAAAATGCCCCAAGAACTCGYACTTCAGCTAAAGACACTTAAATTAAGTCCAGAATCTCATTTGTTATGTTCTTCATTTAAACAAGAGCTGATTAGGCATCACTGGCCAGTATCCACCAACTTCAGGTGACGTGTGAATTCAGCCARGGGTTGATAATCTGTCCTGGCTGCTGGAGGRTGCTCAGAGGTGACTGACACTCCTRTGTCACCCCTSTCTGCAGTGGGGTGGCCTCAGATCTCTGCAAACACCTCTGCAAAGGGCCACTGGAAAGAATAAACCCGTGAGAGGTGAAGCATCCTTACCGCAGCAACAGTGAACAGATAAAGAGATAAGAAAAGAATGGAGTTAGAGTTCCGTATCCAATGCTAAATTAGTTTCATTTCCTCTCAGTCTCGAGCTTCTCCCTATTGATGCTTCTCTGTAAAGCTAATACCTTCCCTTCATCAAAAAAAACCCTGAGTGGCAGCAGTGTTTCAGCTCCAAATGGAAGTCTTCTCTCCCATTTCTGTTATTTCTGAAAGTGTCCAGTACCAAAATCTAAAGTAATGTACTTTTATTGCAAACTGGGGTGTTGAGGTGAGAAATGATCTGAAGAATATGAGACAGTCTGCATTGCTTTCAGAAGAATTGTCAGTTCATGGAATTGGTGCCATTTTTAGCAAGGCCAGTGTAGAAGAGCCCGGGTTGGGTTCTTCACTGCAGTTTTAAAACCTTGACTGGGAGCATAATTCGGATGGAAGTTGATCACCACCCTCATAAGTGGCAAAAACAAGAGTGAAGACATGTCCTGGAAAATAAAATTAGTAATGCTGTCTTCCATCAGGATGGATTGCTCCATTTCAGCATTTTTCATGGCAAGCAGAAATAATGATTTGTGTAAATGTCCATCAGCTTGATAGGGCTGGAAATGACATTGACTGGAAGTAGGGTAACAACAGCAACCAAAAACCAGGCATTAGAAAAAGAGCCACTGGAAAAAGATACTGTTGTATCAAATGTCCTGGTTTTCTCTGCTATTTTATAGCCAGTGGTAGTCTTTTACCATTTTAATTTCCAGTGCTTTGGAGGTCATKCTAAACAAGTCTCTCATTTAAAAAAGAAAAGTCTGTATGGGTATTGCAATTGCATGAGCCATTAATAGCCATACATGCACTTGRGATGAGCCCACAAAAGCATTTGATTTCAAGTCATGTATTCCAGCTCCCTGCAATTACTAGAATAGTAATGTTGACAGAAGGGTGCCCCTTCCATAGAGGTTTTACTTTTTTGTTGTCTTCCTCTTTTCTTTTCATTTATAGCCACCAGCTAAATACCTCCTGCCAGAACTGACAGCATCAGACTATGGGAAGAAGTGTGTGGTCATTGATTTAGATGAAACTTTAGTGCACAGTTCATTTAAGGTAAGTAAATTCAACAGGGGATCTCTTGCAGCTTGAATCTGTCAGAGAATGCTGGAGGAACTGTTAAGGCTCTTAACACTTGAACTCCTCTTACAGGCTCTCCCAGGATGCCTGGGAGTCCTCATCGCCTCTCTTATGATTATTCATCCTCATTTAGCACTCCGGGGCTAGCACCAGAGATTACTGGGGGCTTTTTATTTTATTTTTTTGAGAAAATCAGTCTGACTGCAACAAGGCCTGGAATACGTATTGACTTTGTGGCTTTAAATGTTCCAGCAGGGACCTGTATTTTTAACAAGTACGAAATCTGTTGTTTTGAAAACAGGGGGTTGTTTTTACAGTGTAAATGATGCCATAGCTCTTCTAGGAGATTGGWAAATCAGCACAGCTTTATGCTAGGTTAGATGAACCTTAAACCAGGAGATTTTGGGCAGCAATGGTGGCTCCTCTCTCTTKCTGGAGGATGTTGTTTCCCATCACAGTGCTGATCACAGCACGTGTTTTTAAGTGTTTAGTTTTCAGAGTAAGAAAGCAAATACCATTTAGCTGTTGATGATGAGTCAGTCATCTTCAAGAAGCAACTTCTGTAACCCTGYAGAGTTCAGCATGTGGTGAAAGTACCAGTATTTTTTTATTTCTTAAGTAGGGCTGAAATTAGGAGACTTCAGAAATACAGATAGTCCACATTGGCTCAGGGTACTGACAGCATTTTTGTTCAGCAAATCTAATACGTGATAAAGTGTCTGCTGGTTTTATACATTGATGGGAGAATTTAGAAGAATTATTGTTACCTGACTATTACCAAACAAGATTTATCATCTTTATAATCTTCTAGGTGCTTGCACTCTATTTTTCACTGCAAGCATCAGCTCCACTTTTTAATCCTTCACTTTTTAGTTGCCAGTATTTAAAATGCAAACTGCAATTCATGTTGTGGTTAGAATTTGGCAGCAGCCTCTCTTGGTTGACTTAAAGCAAACCTTATATGGAGATACTAGGACAAATATTCCTGTGCCTCAAAGTGAAATGCAGATTTTTTTTTTTTTTTTCCCTGTCTTTATTATGCCTGATGGTATAGAACAATTTATGGTGGTGTACGGGAACTTCTCAGCCTCACTGCCAGATTTGTCTTCTGTACGCAGACTGAGTTTGCACTGGAGAACTTTTTGGGGAGATAAAAACCACAGTTATTGGGAAGGGAGGATCCATGCCTTCCTATTTAAACAAAAGCCAGAATTAGGAAGGGAAAGCTGAACTTAAAAATTTAATGGTGTGTAATAAAACTGAAATATCAGGCTTAGTGTTACCTAAAGGTGAAAACAAAAGTTTGCTTTCTGACTACTGTGGTTAATCTTCTACTGTGATTTTTGTCTGGTTTTTGAGACAAAATGAGACTCAGTTTAGGTGGTTATTGATTATTTCTTAACCATTTTAAATAAATTAATGTTAAGTGGTTCACCCAGTTGTAGGTCTCTCTTGTGGGACTGAGGTTTRCAGAGTGCTTTTTAGCGGGCTCCTTTTAGTCCTCCCATTCATTCAGCTGATATTTAATGGGTATTTAAATGATGTCGAGTAGATATTTAAGAAAAAACAAAAGATTATTCTACTTAGTGAGGARCAGTGAATAATGTTTGAGGGAAAGAAAACTGGTCCTTTTTAATGTGAGGTCAGTGGACTTGGGCAGATGTTGGAATTTCTGCAGTATTTGAGTCTTAGGGCTGTAGTGGTACTATTTCAACATGAAACCCTTTGATTGGGGGTGTGTAAGAGAAAACAAGGCATTGAAGGAAATTAATTCAGTTTTTTAGTGACTGGCACTGTCCAGTAGTGCTTTTTGGGCTTTGTTTCATGAAGGGAAATTCTTCAGCTGAATTAAGACCATTAATTGTCATCAAAAATAATGATACATTCCAGCAGAGCCAGGGTTTGAACACCTGTGTGCACCCTGCTCTGCCTGGATAGTCAGGTTACTTCTGCAGTTTCTTTTAATTTGCACTGGTTTGGGGTATTTGGGGGATTTTTCTTCCTTTAAAACATGTCTGCTCTAACCAGGCAGATCCCCACTTTAAAGCTGGAAAAGCATACATAAGTTTGAGAGTTTCAGTACAAAAGGCTTTATTTAAAACACCTGATATTTTAGAATTCGTAATTCTGTTATGAAATAGGCTTCATATTTCAAATGCAGATTAAATGTTTTTTTGACACAGCCAGAGAGGCAGAATATTTAAAGTGCTCTTTATGAAAGCAGCAACATCTGAAGGAGGGTAATTCTCATCTTTTTATGCCCCTGCATATTTGTGAAGCTTTAAGGAGGTACTAGTCTTTCATGTTAGGTGCATATTAAAGGAATAAAGTTTGGGATTCTTTGGCAAGAGTAAAAAAGGAATAGATAGACAAGATAGTTATCATTCCCATCATAAAACAATAATAGAAGCAAAAAATAATAAATTATTAAATAAAGAAGATGTAAACATGGTTTTGTATAAAATGTATTGAACCACATGCAAGCCTGGAATGTAGTCCTATTCAAAACTGGCAGTGAAACACGTTTAGAATATTTAAAATGCTGAAGGTTTTGTTTTTTTTTTTTTAATTAAATACAAGCAGTTCTAACTGAACTGAAGATTTTCAGTGGAAATGCATTGCCTTCTTGCAGGCTCTGTCTCTGCAGTTCCCACCAGAGGCACGGACGTGTTTCACGTGCACACCCCACAAACCTTTAGCCAGCAAATKGCTGCAGACTTTTCTCCTCTTTTCCCTCCCTGAGGAGCACAGATCCCCCAGTCCATGCTCCTTTCCTTATCTCTTGGGCCAACAAAAAGCAGTATAATACCTGAAGTGGGGGAAGCAAAATGTATAGTTGGGAGTACTTTGATCAGTGTTACAAAGTCTAAGGGTGGGTTTTATTTGTTGGAAAAAAACAAAGTTGCTTAGACAGAATGTGGTTTTCTCTGGCATCTGGTTGATGTTGCTGCTGTTAGGATGAAATYCTGTAAAAGCTGTAATTTTATCAGTGGATTTCCAAACCTCAGCAGCTTGCAGTGCCCTGTTCTTTTTCTGCTGCTGCTGCAGAGTATTTCTCTTGCTGAAGGGAGCCATGCATATATAAATCCTTCAAGTGTGTGCAAGCCTCTTCAAAGTCTGCAGGGAGCTGGCATCCACTGCAAAACTGGTGGCTGAGGCTTCTTGACAATTTGGGTTTCTTTTTAAGGTGAATATCAGAACACTTTTATGTAGCTGTTCTGAGGCTGTGAGAGCTGCAGTGTCCTCTCTGTCTGAGGGGCTTCACACAGGGAACATGTGGGGGCCTCCCCTCTGTCYTTTTGCAGAGCAGAAAGGGGAAATAGTTCAGTGTCAGATAAGAAAAAMCTGGATTGATCTGTGCATATTTGAGGAATTCTTCAGGTCATACCAGCAGAGGGGTCATCAAGAGGATGGAATTCTCCATCACCAGCTGTTCTGGGAGGTCTGGTTACCAATCCTGGTAGGTCAGGATGAGAAGATTCCATGGAGCCTCTCCTGTGCCCTCAGACCCAGCTCCTGCAGGTGTCAGATCAAACCATCTTCCTTATTTCTGTGCTCCTGAGAGAGGKTGTTTCCCTCCACATAAATTCTTGTGGTCATTTTGCTCTCCTGGCAGGAAGGTTGGTTGTCAGTGGAATTAGAATCTGGTTTCTCCAGGGAATGGGATCAAAGGGATGCTAGCAGGTTAATACTGCAGTATACTCTTTTCCCACCATTTCTCACAGAGCACCTGTTCAGACTCCCCAGATCTGCTTCTTGGTCCCTTTACCTCAGCTGCTTCTCTGCTTTCTCAGCACCCCTTTGACCCCCCTGAATGAGTTTCAGATCTGTTTCCAGTTCTACAGACACTTCATGGGCATCTTCTTGATGGTTCCTGAGATCAGCCCATTGTCTCACCCAGCCAGCCAGGTGGGAAGGTCTGACAGAGCTGGGTGAAGATGTTTTCCAGCCTCAGCTGGCAGTACCAGTCACAGACTGTTCCCAGCTTCATTCTAGGCTCTTGAAGCATATTGGCTGTTAATCTGTATTTGGCAGCTCTGTCTCAGCCATTTCCAGGCTGCAGATGATGGAATGAGTTACGAGCTTCAGCCAGGCATGTTTCCATGACTGGTTTTTTAGAATGGACACAGTGCACGAGCCGTGCCTGAGTGTGGTGTCCACTTGAACCAGTGAACATTGTCAGCAGCCTGTTCCCAGCTACCGCTGCTGGCCAGCCATGGATTAGATTTTGTACTCCTGAACTGTCCATAAGGCCACTTTCCTGCTTTCCAAGGCAATTTTGCTTGACCAACAGTTTTTTCACAGCAAGTCTTGAGAATTAAGTTGTGTTTGACAGGCTGGAAAAATTGGTTAAGGATTTGGGCAAAGTGTGCCTGCTCTTCCTTTTGGAATTAAAATGCAATTTTACATGATTAAGTTGATTGGTATTGGCATCTCTAGAACCCTTTAGCTATACAGCTTAAGTCTTGTTGCAGCTGCTGATTCAAGTATAACCACAAGGTATTACTTGTATCATTGTCTTTAATTAATCACTAATTGATGACCCCAAGTAGAATATGTGGAGTTCAGAGCTCATTTTCTTAATGGTCCTGTATCCACAAAGACTTGATGGAAAATTTAATCCAAAGAGATGTTATCCTGATGAGCACACTCAATGGTTGTGGGGTTATTCAAGCATTGTGTGAAGCTTAAAAATAGGAGAGAAGAGGGAAGTGCAGCATCTGGAATGACAGCTGTGAGGTTTCTGACTTGTGTGTGTAAGAGCACACACAGGGTGGATCTGTGCAGTCAACAATGATTATTGATTATTAACTTTTTCCTCAGAAGTAGGTACTCCTCCCTTTTCTGCCCCTGAAAGTTTCCCTCTAATGGTCTTATTTTTAATGCTGATTATTTCCTTGTCCTTCTTTCCAGCCAATTAGCAATGCTGATTTCATCGTTCCTGTTGAAATAGACGGAACCATACATCAGGTAAGTGCTGGTTTTCCTTCAGCATTGTRTCCTGAGTGTCCCAGAAATGTTCTCTTCCTCCATTTCCTGCTTTATATCCAATAATTTTTCCTTTGGCAAAACACGAAAGCTGTGTTTTCTGGAATGCAGACGTGCATCCCTGTGTGATCATGTAGAATCTCTCTCTCAGGACTTCAATACTTGACCCTTTGTCAATTTTAAACATTTTGAATTAGGAAATGATGTAAGGATGGGGTTTCAAACATTGCTGGTGCCAGAAAAAGCTGTTTGAATGCTGCATTTCTCACTCCTTCCAAGACAAACAGGACTTAAGTTGKCTTCAGGGTCTGTTGGTAGCTCACATGCCAAAGCTCATTTATGTTTTATAAAAGTATAAAGGAAGAATAGACATTTCTTCAATTTTTGTGGCAGTCTGTGTTTAATTTCTGTCCCCTTTTATTCCTGTAAGTAATTCAAGTTCCTTTGATAGGAGTTTTTATACACTTCAGGWTATTTGAAAGGTCTGGACAAAATCACAAGGATACTTAATTTTTATGTCTTGTTCTTTAAGAACTTGTCCTAAGGCTCTAAGAAATGGTTTTGAGTAAATGCAAAATGCCCATAATTTGAAAATCAGTCCCCTCCATGTATCTTAGCTTGGAGTCCTTAACTCATCTCCAGCAAGAGCTTCRGTGTCTGTCTGAAAAGTTACAGCGCTGTGATTTATTTTATTCAACCCTTCAGAAATGACTACTGATTAAACAGGTTAACGGGAAGCTGAGCCTTTCTGATACATGGACCTTGCAAATTGTTTGAARCAATGGGATTTTGGRTGTTACAGTTRTTGAGGAGCAAATCTTCCCTAGATSTGATTTAACAGAGATTTTAAATACTTTAATTTCTGAAATGTTATGTGTTATTTTTACAAATTACTTTTACTTGTATAAAGAGGTTTGTATTTTAATCTTGTGCTAATTGGTGCATCATAAAGTTAGTTCATAGTTTGTCTGATTTCCTGTGATGGAAACTATCCATGTATTTGTCACTCTTAAAATGAATACTGAATATCAGTCAGTGGATTGAAATGTGCTTTAAAGTAATAGCTGTTTTGACAGTTTTTACACTATGGATGTTTTATGTAGAAAAATTYAATATCTGGGATACTTCCACCTGTAATGTTCACCAGAGCTGATGCTTAAAAAATTTAAGTGATGTTTTGGGAGATTAGTGATTTTCAATTCTGATTTGATGTGGGCTTTAGCTSTGCTTGGTACTGTAGAGCAGACAAATTCTCTCTCCTGAAACTTAGAATGCTTTTGAAAGTGAATTTTTGAATGGCTTGGAGTTGTGATCACTTAGCTTGTCAAGATAGCATATTTACATTTTGAAACAAATCCCAATAAAAAGCCATTGGAGCTTTACAGTCAAACACTTCAAAAGCCTGTTGTTTTTCCATTCCCTGCTCCAAACTCTGAGTCTTCCCTAAATACAGTGCAGTTTGGCACTTGGAGATGATTTCTTGTTGGGGAAAAGAGAAGACAACCGAAAAAAATCCCAAACAGACAAAATCCCACAGCTCCACAAAGGGAGTGGATTTGTGCATCTCCTTTGACAGAGGGGGTCAAGTGGAATTGGTCTCTGTTTTGCTGGAGACTTCCTTTGTGATTTTCAAAGAAATTGCTTCACCTTTTGTATTTCAAGTTCCCTAGCCCCTAAAATAGGTAAATACCTCAGTCACATTTGGATAGTAAAAATGAAGGCAATTGTAAGGAATTTGTGATTCTTGAAATGAAGCTAATTTATATGGCACGCAGAATTGGCAAAGCCTTTGTTTGTAATATCTCTGTGATACAGCTGACATTCAGGAGTATTTTTTTATTTTAATTTTACACTGTGATAAAGGGCAAAAATGGATATTCTGGCTGAGTCTGATGAGCATTAGCACAGGCTTTGGAGCTTTGACAACCTGTTCCCACTTCAAACCTGTAATTCTGTAGTCACTTAGAGCATAAACGAACTGATATGAGCAATTTCTGTCATTTATCAGGATTTGTCATCTGTGTAACACTTGTCCATTTCCTTAAGCAGTTCATATTCTCCAAGATTAATCACTGACACTGGGAAATATTTCCACCTGTGCAAAATATCTCAGGATATGGGCAATGATGTGGAACAACACTGTCCACAGTACATATCCCTGCTCTGCCACTGAGCCTGGTGCCTTGTCAGGCAGGAGTTTGACAGATTTTTATTGTCCTTGAACTCTGCCTTAGGCAGAACCCCAGTGGAAACAAACTGAGAAACAGCATTTCAGAAGTACCCATTCRTAGAGAAATTTGATTGTTCATATCTCATACACCAAAAAATACAAGTTGTGGCAAATTGAATTGCTGTGCTSCTGAAAGAGTTTTAAGATTGACTTATCTAACTATTTTTTTTCATTGTAAATGCTGGTTTGGTTTTTTTTGGTTTTTTTTTTTGTTTTTTTTTTGCTGTTCAACAGAGGTCTTAAAAAATAATGTCTTTAGTTTGGGGAATTTGTTTTCCCTTATATAATTTATAATCCAAAGGTCAGAGAGACTCTTGGGGTTTTTTCTTATAGGGAGGACAATTCATCATCTTAAAGGGTGCTTGGGTAAACGAGCTTCCCTAGATTAAAAACCAGCTTTTCTTAACATCCCTTTTCCCTCTCCCATCTTTCTTTCTGCAGCCTAAATTACCTTATCTTTCCAAAGGATTTGTCATTTTATTTTAAGAAGGAAATAAATCAAGTGTGAAGGAACCTCCCTGTCTTTCTGCTTTGGATGCCTGCAGAGGCTGTGCCCATCCAAGGGCAGCACGAGTTACAGGGAAGGATCCCATGCTTTGTGCTGGGAATGATGGCCGAGACACAAAAGGTGCAAGTTGACCCTTCTGGATGTTTCTCTCCTTTCACTCCTGATTCTCTGGATGAAAGGAAATCAGAGCTGGTCTCCTGCTCTACCAAATTAGAAGGGAGAAGCTGGGGGAAATCCAGTGAAATGGGTGGGAACTGAGAGGAAGCTCACTGAGGGTGAAATCGGTGGCTGGAGGAAGATGTTCAGCCTTTTGGGTACCTTGAAATAACTTCTGCAGGAGCACATCCTCTCCTCTGGACCTGCTCCCCACTGAGCAAGGGCAGAGTGACCACAGCCCCCAGATCAGAAGCTGCATATCAAATAGAGTTTTAATTCCCARTGAGTGAAGGTTTTTAGGAAATGCTTGTCCTTTCATCCAAATTGACTTCCAGTGGCTTTGTGCTTTGCTCTTGATGTCAGAGGGTGAAGAGGGCAAACAGGAAGAGTTTGATTTGGTGTTATTTTGGATTTAATTTTTCAATATAATTMGTTTATTGAGTAGAACTAGCTTTTAAGGATTTGTTTGGGGCACTGGGAGAGTTAATTGAATTAATGGACTATTTTTAGTTGTTGAAAGCTAAAGAAATTTGGCATGTGTACGTAAATGCAAAATGGTTTTTTTTAATGACATGGTGCAAATGCTGTTCAAATAATGAACTTCCTTCCTGTGAAGCACGAAATCCGTGGATTTTCTTGCAGAAGGCTGTGGCCTGGTTCAAGTAATCCAGGATAGGCTGTATCCGTTCTAACTGGCCTATTCTTGGTTACTTGCACTGGGACACAGCCACAGCCCGGCACAACGAGGCTCCAGGACGTGGGATTTTCTGCTCACTGCTCACAAGAGGCACCCACCCCACCAAACAGGAGATCACTCGAGTTGGAGTTGTCACAGGCRCATTTTTTTGGTCATTACTTGCAGATTTCCTCGTTGTCAAGCTGGTTTTGAAAGGCCATTCTTTGTGTCCTGTTTAATTGATGGAAAATGAGCTGGGTTTGTCTTCTGGTTTCACAAATACTGAGTCTCTGTAGGTTGAGGCTGCTTTGAGGTATAGAAAATTCATGTGGAAGTACGAAATGCTCAAAAACAATTAAAGATAATTGCTTGTGTTCTGCCATTAGCAACTGTAAGAATCCTGTGGAAACATGCCTTGTGCCTGATTTGTGTTTAAAATGTTGAGTATGGTTCATTTTAAATAATAATAAAAAGGCTGTATTCCTCTAAATTCTTGCTGTGATAAGGAAAAAATTATTGAGCATACAATAAAAAAAAAAAAAAGAGATGGATTTTTTTTCTTTTTATGCCCTGAAGACAGTATATAAATCTCAGAAAAATGCCAGGAGCCAGTTAGTCTAGAGATTTAAACTGAAGACATCAGGCAATGGAGGAAAAAGCCAAGCCACAAATAACCATGCAGCATTGAGATTCAAGTCCAGCCACTAACAAAGTAAAGGGGAAAAAATTCCAAATGAGAAGGAAGAGGAGAAAAGAGCTGCACTGTCAGCTGAAGAAAGCTTTTTATGTGAGCTAAACCAAAGAGATTTTGTAGYCCAGGATACCAGTACATTCTGGAGTTGCTTCCAGGGTCTAAGTAGGACTTCTCAAAGAAAACTTCAAGGAGAATAACTATCCAGAGTATTAAGATACATTGTTCTGCCAAAAAATTTTAAAAATCAGCGTTGTTAAAAAAAAAGAAAAAAGGCGAAGGCATTGGGGCTTTTTACAGAGGGAAATAATTAAGGGAAAAATTTGGTGAGACTTCATCCTAAGAGATGACATTTATTATTAATTAGGCATTTAACATGAGAAGCAAATCTGTTGGCCAGATCCCAGCAGGGAAAGATTTAAGGCAAAACAGCACGAGAAATTCGAGTAGAGGAGGTTGTGAGTGTTCCGTGGTGCATCAGGAGCCCTAAACTGCAGAAGGGAGACCATCCTGCTAAAAATGCTGTGTATGCACAGCTGATCCTGAATTAGRTGCAGAATTAGGGGCCCTAAAAACAGCCAGAATGCAGCCTGGGRCTGTGGCTGGGAGCTCTGGGGCTGCAGCTCCAGGGTTGATTTACTGTGTGCTCCTGATGGASGAGGTGGGTTGTGTTGCAAGCAGCAAAGTTCAGGTCCTTGGCAAGGAGTTTGTAATTACATTCCAGATGGAAATACTTCACTGACACGGGTGGAGATAGGGATGGAGAGCAAAGAGGAGACTTCTGCCGCTGTGGCTGTGAACACTGAGCTTTGAAAAGGAAATTAATATTAAATTCCAGCTTTCTCTCTTCAAGCATGATGTTAAGACTATGGTRTGCCCCTCTTGTGCCCTCAAAAAATAAGTGTAGGAATAAAATTTAAGGCTGAAAAATCAAGAACTTAATAATTAACTTGGATCCTGCTCTTTTTCCTCTTATCTGGGAAGCTGGATAGTCTCTGGATACCCAAGTGGAGAGGGACTGCAGCTGTCTTTCTGTCTTAAAAAAAAAAAAAATCAAAGAATTTGGAGAGGAAACACTACAGCAGAACTTTATGTAGTAAGAATTAAGTGAAAAATTAATTGTGTTGTTATAGGAGAGGAAATGACTTGGTTTATGCTTGGTGAAATACAGGAAACATTGCTTTAATTATCTGGAAAGAGACTGGTGTTGAAGTGCATCTGTTAACTGTCTTTAATCCATAAAACGTCACAATTTCTTTGATGGGTTAGGTGCTGCTGTGGTTGTTTTAAAAAAAAATCCGGGTTATAAATTGTTATGTGTATCAAAGTTTGAATGTAATGTTTATGAGGGCAGAAATAGTTTAGATAAATTTCATAGAAATAACTTAAAAGAGATAAAGACTTCATGGTATGATCTGTATGCTGCATAAAGGGGAAAATTACCATTTCTGCTTTAGTCATTAAGGTACAGCTCCATCATACATGTTTTTTTTTAAAAGTGCTTTCAAATTTAGGGTTTCAATTTCAATTACACAGCTTCTTTTTTTCTCCTTTTGCTGAAGGCTTTCATTGTTACACTTGAGTTCAAGCTGCTGTTTCCATATTTTTCTCCTTCAGGCTTTTTTTCTGGGTACCTTGATTTTTTTTTTTGCTTCTTATTAATATGAATCTGGTAAAATACATACAATTAATCTAGTTTTACATATCAAAGAATGAAATTCCTGAAATAGCATCAGTCTTGCAGTTCCTCCTGGTTTCAGCTTTATGCCAGACTTCTCCACTTGAAATTTCCAGTATTAGGGATTATTTGCCAAACAAAAGAAGATAAAATGCTGTCAGTGTTTTCTCTCAAACTTTTAATCTAACTGCAAACAAGACAGATAAATATTTTTCAGGCAGACTCCCCTCTTCAGCTTCCCAGTTTATTGTGAAYTGCTTCCAAGCTTTCTGAGCAGCAGCTTTCATGTTTTGGTATCTTCTGTGAACACAAAATCATCTTGTGTGCTCTGAAAAGAGAGGCAGGGAGGTTTTTAATAGCTGCTAATCAGGTTGTTGACAGTAGGCAACCAAGCCAGTGAAAAAAGGGAGTGGACCCCTGCTGAAGTCAAGGTGCTGGAGAGGGGAGAATTCCTGGGAATTTGCCATCTTTATGGCAAGCTCCTTGTTAGATGCTGTAGATTTCACCAGCAAGTCTCAAAACCAGCATTTTTAGACATTCTACATGGTTCTGTGAACGTTTTTTGTGAGAAAAGCTCTCTGCAGAACTGAAGGGCTTGATCACTCTCCATAGTGAGTTATGGTATTTAGCACCTGGAATTTCAGAAATGAAAGAATCAGCCACAGAATGAAAACAGCTCCCTATTGTGCAATTCCCATCATCATAGAGGCTTCATCAGATTTATTCCTTCTGTGGAGCTCTTCAGCACTGAAGGCACCAGCACCAAAATGGGTTTGGTGGAGAGATCTGAATCCTTGCTTCTTGAGAAGCTCTCCTGTCTCCCTTTGCCTCTAATGAGATTTTTCAAGGAGCACCACTCCARCTGATGCTCGGTGTTTGCAGTTACATAATCAGCAGGGGCTTGGCAGCCCGTGCGTGCCAGTCTCTCATTATTGGATCTCCACTTTCATCTTGAATGGTTTTCTTTTTCCCCAGCATTTCATTTGAACTGCTCCCCTGTTAACTTTTTGTTTCAAGTGCTGGGATTGCAGGAATAGTTTGGGTTTGGGTTTTTTTTTTTCCTTTCCTTAAGCACCATCTGACCTAAATGCCATTACCGTTCCAGGTTTATGTRTTGAAACGACCACACGTGGACGAGTTTCTTCAGAGGATGGGAGAGCTCTTTGAATGTGTACTCTTCACAGCCAGTCTAGCCAAGGTGTGTTCCTCCCTTCATCTCCTTAACCCTTCTGGTGCCSGTCAGTGGACTTTTTGGTTGGGTTTTCTTTGGATGATTATTTCCATAGTCGGTACTATCTTAATTTTTCCCCTTCTTTTCTGCTTCTTTGTCTGACAGTGTGTACTTTGTCTGCTAGTGTGTGGGTAAGTGTTTCCATGGTAACACCATCACATATGGGCTCGTCTCATAATGTAGCCTCCATGCATTGCTCATGATGCCAATATGAAAGGCTCCCAAGTTACCATGGTTATAGTGAGAAATTAGAACAAATAGCGGTGCGAGTGGAGCAGCACATGAAAGCTGGGCATGAAATAAAACACACCGAATCAAACCCTGGCTGCACCATCAACCAGGGACTCAGAAACTCACTGGAAACTGGGAACCACTGTTCCTGCTCTTGTCAAGGTGCAATTGTGACCTGGAGTTAGCAAATGAGGCCTTTTTTTGCAAAGCTTGAAACGTCCCCAGGAATATTTCGTGCCCTCTGGTCTGCAGTAGCAGTAGTGGCTCGTAGGTAGTTTTTGTGGTAGATGTTACAGTAGTAGACTGATCTTGAATTCTTCACTTCTTTTGGTGTATTTGTGGTGTCTCGTTTGTAAAATGATACTGGTTATTCCTAAATGGTGCTCTAGCATGGCAAGCTTTTGCTCCAGCCTAGTGTAGAAGTGGTGGAAGGGGACAGGATCCTGATCTTATGTAGTGCCTTTTTCCCTGCATTCTCTTTACCAAATAACTGTTCARTCATGTTGAAAAAACTCTCAGTACTGCCCCAATTTCRTACTGAAGTTAGGTGCCTTATTTTATTTCATAATCAAAATATGATTGATTTTGAGATCAATTTTGTTTCTCAGTTTCAAATACGGGAAAATGGTAACTCCTGTTGGTGCAATAATAAGATGTAACTGCCATTTTCAAGTATGTGGTTATTCATGTTCAAGTTTATTTGGAAACTTTTTCTTGATTAGTTTATATAAATTGTTGGATTCTAAGCCGTGCCTCACTTAAAGTATCATCTTGTATATAAAATAAGAATTTCTCTGGGATTGTACATGGGTATTTTTATTAATAACATCTTYGGTTGATCTTTTATGGCCCAAGTTGGTAATCCAAAGAGTCTTGCTAACCCAGTTGCTCCAGGGGTATCATTTGGAAGAGCCACATCAGGCTCAGATGTGTTCACTGCAGTTCATCTTCAGGGGCACATGGAAACAAATCAGCTGGGGAAATGCTTCATATTGATTCTCTRTTAGCTTTGGCTGGTTTTATGGTAATGATAGGTGAGATGTCTGGATCTATCAACCTCTAGAAAACTCTCCGGGCTACTCTGAGTTGGCTCTTAGAATAAAACCTGATCAATGAATCACAGAAAACGTTAGAATGCAAGTTAGCCTTCTATGGAAAGCTAATTGTCCTACTTTTGGATTATCTCTTTATTAATCACTTCAGGTTTGCAGGAGAGTGAGTTAATTAACGAGGAGCAGGGACGAAAATGGAGAAAGGGCRTTTTACCTGAAATTATTTGGTGTCCCTTCTCTGTTTGGCTCTGTGAATTTGCCGTCCCTGCACGTTGCTAACTTGGTGTTTCTGCCTTCTATTTTTAAGTATGCAGACCCAGTAGCCGACTTACTGGATCGCTGGGGTGTGTTCAGGGCAAGGCTCTTTAGAGAATCCTGTGTTTTCCACCGAGGGAATTACGTGAAGGATCTGAGTCGACTGGGCCGTGAGCTGAGTAAAGTTATTATAGTAGATAATTCTCCTGCATCTTACATCTTCCATCCTGAAAATGCAGTAAGTATTCGAAGCACTCGAGCGTGACTTCACCCCTCTGGCCCTTGCCCAGGTTTTGTGATTCAGAAAATAGACTTTTCAGAGCACTGCCTTGTATCAGTTTTTGTGGTTTCTTAGGCTGCAGGTAGGTTCTGGGATTCACTGTCAAGCGATGAAGGACATGGGCAAACTGATCTTGACAGAGTGTCACAGCCATGACTGCTCATGTGCTGTCAGCTTTAGCTTTTGGCGTGAGGTCCAACAGTTTTGAGAAATTCCAAGTGTTGTGGAACCTGAATAACCAACCTAGCTCTGAGAAACAAAGCTGCCCTGCAGCACAGGTTTTGTTCTTTGGAGTGGTGTTTACAGAAAGAATGGTTTGCTTGAACTCCTTTTGGTACTCCCATCTTTTTTTTTTTCATTGTGTGAGTGGCAGTATTTTATTAGACAAGATAATTAATGCTTTACTGGTTGCTACTGAGATAAGCATTTGTGGGTAAGGGAAAGAAAAAAAAAAGCAAGATCCTACTGTGTTATGCTCCTCCCTCAAGTGTTATTGAGATAACTCCAGATTTAGAGCTGTTAATCAACAAGTTCATCAGGCTTTAGGAATAAGGATAAAGGGCACGTCCTTTAGGGGAGAATAATGAAGAGCAGTGTGCATTTTCCCTGTGTGTTTGTATGAGCTCCAGAAGCTCTGAAGGAGAGGTCTGGGGTGCTCCATCCGTGGCTGCAGCTGGTGCAGATGTTCACATCTGCTTTAGCTTCCCGGGGTGGGAGCTGGAACTCCTTAGATCTGCTGACTTTTAGACAACCAGGCTGTGCACTGTTTTCTTTGATGTTTTTAGCCTGTCTTCTTTGTGAACTGTTAAAATCAGTGTAGGAAATCTTTTCTTAAGAACACAGCTTTGCACAGTCCTGCCTCTCCTGAATAGCATTTTTTTTCTTTAAACAAGAGCTATTTATCTTCCAGCAGTCAGCTTTTAAGTTCAGATCCTAATATTGTGATGCCCTAAGTGATACGGTGAAAACGTTTTTCTGGTTGATGCCACACATGGTTTAAAGCTGCCGTTTATAATAACCAGAACCTGTAGCTCTAATTTATGTTCATGGTTAAAATTAAAAACCTGATCCAAGATCATCRTTTGGTATCTCGGAAATCAGTGCCAAGAAAATAATGAGCTGTAGAAATTTGGGAGATGAAATTAAGGGCCTTGTCAGAGTGGTTTAATCATGTATAGAAAAGTGCTGCTGGCTGAGTGATACTCGAGGCTCTGCAGAAACCAGAGCTTGTAAMAAGATCCAAGATAGGCTTGAAAAGACCTCAGTGTGCTCCCATAGGGCAGATACACAGAACACCTTTCCCAAATCCAGCCCACATATTTAAGAAGGGTTATTACACGCATTATTTTCTGAACCCACTCTCAAGGTCTGACATTTTAACCTGAGCACTGTTCTGGCCTTGCTGTTAAATATTTCCTCCAAACCCCATGCCAGGAGGGGTTGTTGCTGCCTGCCTGCTCCYGGTGACTCACTCTTATAATTCTTAGAGGGAAAAAAAAAAAAAGAAAGATGTGCTTGCAAATAAAGCATCAGTGCAGCTCCATAATATGTGTGTTCCTTCCAGTGTGTTCTGGATCTCAGGGAGGCAGAGCAGGGTGAGCTGCCCAGTGTGGGGTCACACAGGTCACCTGGGCATGCAGGTGAGRGACAGCTGTCACTGGGTTTGGGGTTGAACCTGCTGCTCCACCTGAATGGTTATGAGTAGCTAATTGCTTTGGTGATGATGATGATGGTGGTGGTGGTAGTGGTGGTGGTTACAGAACACCTGCACAAACAAAACTCATGTCTTCCACATCATAAAACCCTCTGAGTGTTTGCTGGTTGCTTTGTTTCAGGTGCCTGTGCAGTCCTGGTTTGATGACATGACAGACACAGAGCTGCTAGATCTTATTCCTTTCTTTGAAGGACTAAGCAAAGAGGAAGAAGTTTACAGTATGCTTCATAAACTCTGCAACAGGTAGCCCTTAACTCTGACTGACTCCTGCTCCTAGATTGCAGTTGCTAGAGGCTGTCTCCATCTCTTTCAGCTCTTTCAAATGTAAGCTTTGGGGAGGTCACCCCTGTCAGAAGTGCTACTCTTGATCTTCCTGTTACATTGGACACGAAGGACAATCATGAGTGATGCTATTAAGCCTTCAGAAGCCTGACTCCTAAGGTCATGTGTTCAGACTACTTTTTTAAAGGAAAAAAAAAAAAAAGCTATTTTAAATGGGACTCTTTTAATTAATTTCATAAATGGACATCTTTTACTGGATCAGCTTTTCTTAAAACATGCCAAAAAAAGAAGCTTGTATTTCAGCAGTTGAATTTCTCTCCCTTTCTTCCCCTCCCACTATGCAGACAATTTTACCCCCCTGCTTAGAGCAGTTGACCTGACTCTGAATTTTTTCTTACAGAATGAAGTGCCTTTTTGAATGTTATTTTAAGATAAAAATTCATTTTTGTATAAGACGTATTTCCAGACATCTTTTAGTCTTGTATTGTCTAAATGCTTTAAAAGGAAAAAGGAAAAAAATTTTATAGAGCACTGTAATATATAACAAAGGAAAAAGTTGAAACCAAGATGCTGGGTTCCTGTCTCCACGATGACATTAAGTTGTGTTACACTTTGTCACGCTCGAAGGTTCAGGCGTTCGTGGGAGGGGTGAATTGGGTTCATTACGTGGTTGTTTCACTGATGATGATGATTTTGGGCACAGTTTAAAAACATATCTGCAGTTGTTTGAGCATTTAGGGAGTGATGGAGTTGAGAAAACAAGGTGGCTGATAGACCTGAAGCACCTTTAACTCTAGACAGATGAAGTTCTGCTGTCTCTGCTTACGCACAACTGCCATGCCTCTTCTTTTTTGGAAAACCATTATCTTGGGAGAACGGCGAGGAGATCTATTTATTAGTTTGAGATTCTTTTCTTCAAACSACCCATCTGGGTAAGCTGGATCTGTATTGAGCTGTTTGGAGTACTTTTTTCTTTTAATTGCTGCTACTGTATACTCACCAAATGGAGTTGACCATCGGCTGTTATACTGTTTTTGCCACTGTGCCTGTGCTATGAGACATTTTCTGTAAGCTGCAAACTCGGGCAATAAATAAAATGCAGGCTTCATGACCCTMCCCCCATGGATTAATCCATTGGTAACTGATGTACCAGAGAATTCAGTTAAAGGTGACCTGTAAAGGAGATTTTTTTTTTTCAATTAGGATGAAACCTTCTCCTTTCTTTGATATATAAAAATGCAGAAAGTATTTTGCCTACACCTTTGATTTGTATTTCTTTTTCCCCAAGGTGTAAGGTGCAGATTAGGAGCTGTATCTTGTMGAAGGGCAGAAGTTACTAGGCTAAACTAAAGTCAGTCCTCTGGCTTTGGAGTTGACTTAGACTCATCTCTGAATCTGAGAACCTGCTTAACATSTTCTGCAGTGCCATAGGTACCCCTTCAGATGAATGATTTTTGAATATTTCATGCCTTTGAAGAACAAGGTACAGCTTTTTTTTTGCCTTTCCAGCGTCACCTTTCAGTTATTGTCCACAGCAGAACTCTGCAAATATAAAAAATGCAGCTGTGTTTGGCTGTCATCAGAGAAGACTAAATGGAGTATTTGGTGCTTCTAATTAGCCTCGTGCTAAATTCTGAATTGTAGACCCCCTTTGCCTTTTCTCTTTTTCTCAAAAAGCCCTGATGGCTTGGGAAAGAAAAAAAAAAACCAACAAATTTCTTTGCGATGGACTTGGCTTGTGATCCTTGTCTCCAAAACATTGGTGAAGCAGCTTAACAAATCCATCAGAGAAGGGCAGGCCAGTCTACACAGGCAGCGAGTGGGTTGTCGTGGTGCAGTGTGAAGCTGAGCCCCCCTCGCAGTGCAGCTGTGCTCCAGCTGTGCTCCAGCTGTGGCTGGGCCCAGGGGTGCTGGAGGCAGTCCCGTCACACCCRTGAGTCTGTAACGGCATCACCCTTTTGTTTCTTAACCAGCTGGCATTACCTTAGTACTGTATCAATCTGTGCCACAACAAAAAGACAAACTCATTGAGTTTAATGTTTAAAAATATTAAAAAAAAAAGCCTTCTTTGTTTAAAAATATAAAGGAAAAAAACAACAGGAAAAAAAAAAAAAAGACGTATGGATTCTGGTTAGTCCATTAACGTTTACTTTCAGTTTAAGATTGTTTAATTTTGTATTTGACTCCAGAGTAATGAAACTGTAAGCTGCCAAAAAAAAAAAAAAAAGTTGTTCTCTGAGCAGTATTTTCARCTGTGCCTGTGGCTCCTGGGCCCCAGGTGCAGTTTGCAGGGAAGTATTCAGGTTGTAGTTAGTCGTGCAGGTATGAGAGGAATGGCTGAGGAAATTCAAAGACTTTTTCTCGTTAGCGTTAGACCAAACAGTCAGACAATGAATAACCCACTGAGACAGGGCCGGGTGACAGTTGGGACCTGTTGACGTGAGACAAAYCGTGTCACCAGTTTGCATCTCTGAAAGCAGCGATTTCATGAACCAGTTGCCTTAAGTCTGTGAATGAATGTTGATATTATTATTAAAGTGTCTTGTATTGTTTTGAAATCCACATAGAATGGGCAACTGAACTTCTGCACCAGCCTCTGGAGGGACGGTTCTGATGATGTTCTGTACAACCATACTTGTACTGTATTATTTTGGCTCTTAAAATGCCCAAATACAAAAMCCCCCAAACTTACTGTAATTAATACAGCATTAAAATGACACTTGGTGACAATACAAAGACAGCAAACTTACCACAGCTTTGATCTCTGTTAGTATGAAGAGTATTTTCTCTAAGTTCTGATCGAATCTATTTTTTTAACCCACACAACTCCTATGGAAATAAAACTCAGAGTGCTCTGCAATCAGGTTTGGACTCCCCTGGGTATTCAGATTTGGCCAAAGGGATCAAACTGTCACGGTTGTTTATTTTGACACTATCATCATACTTGAAATTTCAAATGTTGAGTTTGCGTGGATATGCATACGCTATATATTTAGAGTTTCTAGATTCTAACGAAGCAATAGAGTTCTGTCCATAAAGTCAGAAAACTAGTGGAATGTTTGTAAAATTTGCAATACGGGTATTTGATTGTATTTTAAATACAAGATTTAAAAAAAAAAAAATCAAATAGGAAAAGAAAAAATATTTGTTTCCTAAATCTCTTGCATATTTTGAAGTGCAGTTAGTGCATGCAGGTCACCAGGGCTGTTACAAACCCTGGGTTTCACTTCTATTTCTGGATATTATAGAAGTATTAAAAAGCCTTTCCCAGTTGGTCATTCTGAAGAGATGCTGCCTGGCCTGAAGTTCTGTTGTCCTTTTTATGTTGGGTTAAAAAACGGTTTTTTGCCTGTATAGGTATTTTTAAATTAAGCTGTAAGGCAGAATGCCTTAGACCCTTGAAATCCAAGTGAAGTGTTAACAATGGGATTGCCATTTGTAACCTTAGGGCTGTGCGCAGAATCCTTGTTCACCACCAGGAAGCGTGGCAGGCTCGGGATGGGAGATGGTAGCAAATGTACAATATTGCTGTGTTCATTTAGGTAGCTTTGGAAGAATTATTTTGTCTCTTTGTTTTTGCCCTTTTGATCTTTATTAAAAACAGCAGAAGTTATACATTGGAAGAAACTCAACACCTGGAGACGTTTTGGTTGTCGGTGTACGCAGTCACTTTTCTTACAGCATGATTTTGATTAGACTGGTTGGGGACAATAAAGTATCTAAATGACCATGGTGTGTGCTGATGTTGCAGCTTTTGAAATTTCAGTGAAAAAAAAAAGAATCTGTAGCTCTGTGACTTCCGAAGGCGTAACCCTCTGTTGGACAGATTGTTTTTAACCTAATAAACCACAGTTTCGCACAGCCCTATTTGTAAAACAAAAACAAGTTTGTGCCTCTGATTCCAAGGTGCTGTGATTTTTTTTTTTTTTTGCCTTTGTGGGGCGAGGAGGGGCAGGTGAGACTGGCATGGGGCAATTGCTTCAAAATCTCTGGGCTAACTATGCAAAACCAGCTGTCAGTTTTCTGTTCCACATGATGTTGTAAAATCCCAGCTGACTCTCTCTTATTTCTTGTTAAAGATCTATTGGGAACTCCTTAACTGAGGAGTAAGCAATGGAAATGTTTCTTTCTTTCTTTCTTTTTCCTTCTTTTTCTTCCTTCTGATGGAGCTGTTTACACTTTGATGCAATGAACAATCCAGCAATACTTGAGAAACACTACAGATACCATATGAGTGTTTGCAGGAGAGAGAAGTGTTGTCAATCAGGTATTGAATGGTTTCTTTACTGTCACAAATAAAAAATTTTAACAATATAGCTACCTTGTGCATGTAATACTTCTCTGGGAAAAAGCATTTCTGCACTTTTCCTTCAGGAACAGGCACTGCCCTAATTCAGCAGGGACTTTATTCCTGCTAATGCACATTAGAGGAATAAAAACCACCCATCTCTGTCCCACCCTCCTCCCCCTCTCCCCTTTTTCAGTCATGTGCAGGACTCCTCAGTGGCTGCCCTGGCACTTGCTTGTGCAAACAGAGCTGATGAACTGCTGATGAACTCTGCTAAATAAATTGGTGGCGACTCTTGCAGATGTTCCAGCTATTTAGATCTCTTGGATGAGATCATACAATAATTTGTTCAAGTCTCAAAGCTGTGTGACTTCTTTTGAAGGGCTTACTTCAGCTACTTGAATAGCTGTTCTTAACATCACTGCCATATCCACATGAATATCTGAATAAAAACTATTTGGTTGGAAAAATCTATTTTGGGACTTTTTATCTGACACAGTATGACTTAGGCAGAGCCTTCCTTTCTAGGAAAAGGCACATATTATTGATGCTTTATGAGCAGAAAACCTCAGGCCTATTGGGATAAGCAGCTGGCTCAAGATAGCACATTAGTTGCAATGAAAAATATTTTTTTGTTAGTCCTATGATCAGTTGGAATGACCTGGACTGCCTTTACCTGTCCTGGTGGGTCAGGTTATTTTTTAGATTTTTTTTTTAGGGTTTTTTTTTTAGTTTTACCGATCTCCTTAGCTGTTACTTAGGATAAAGATGCCCCTTTTTCTTTTCCACTTGGTAAAGCAAATGTTTCAAAATTCATAAAACAGCTCATTGATAGTGGTGAGAAAGATCCTGTTGTTGTCCTAACAGGAACCGAGTGTCTGCAAAACTGAATACACAGTAGTCTGTACACCTATCGTCTTTTCAATGGTTTCCCACCCCCCCCC